GAGATAACAGCACTGTAAAGAGAAGGTAAACTTGAAATAAACCCTATTCCAACACGTCTGGCCAGCGGTCTACTAGACCAAAACCTCCTTTCTGTGGAGAGGCCGATGTCTAGCAGTGGACTATTGATGATGATGAAACGGGTGATTGAATTTATATTAAAATCTTGAATAATTCGAGTAGGCATTGTGCCTGTGGAAGAGACATTCTTCGACACAAATGAGCCGACTTGACCAGAGTAATAATATGGCCTCAAAAAAAACTGTTCTTAAGCAATTCTTTCGTTACCTTTCGCCGAATAAGATTATCGGAGGCCCGACACGGAAGGGGGGAAGGGGAAGGTTAAGGCCTCCAGTCCGCCCCTCGAATAAGACTTCTTTGAGAAAAACGTGAGTTTTGTTTAATCTCTTACTTTTACTGCTGGATAATTTGAAACGGAAATAAATACTAGCTTCTGCCCGCGGCTCCGCCTATGTAGATTATCATGGTAAAAAGCCTATATTCCTCGCTGAAAAGAAAATGTAGCTTTCCATTTGTGAAAGAATTTTTAAAATCGGTTTAGAAGTTTAGGGCGTGAAAGCATAACAAACAAACTCAGTATGGAAGTAAGGATTAAGCAGTTTCTTAAGGACCCTTTAATTTAATAAAGTAAGATGTGTTAGTTGTTTTGTAAATATAAAGTTTTCATGGTTGGTTATCAGAATGTACCTTACACGCTGATATCACGTGAACTAGTTTAAAACGTACTGGTTGGCATAAATCTCAGTTAATATAAGCCACGTTAATCCACTTCGTATATAGTAGGTACGAATTGATCGATTGGTTTTTTTATAAATCTTTTACTATCAGAGGATGGGAAAACGGATTTCGTATTGATATTGCAGGGTTAGCCTTATAACATATACTGAGGATTAAGTTAATCTTGATTTATCGTACTTGAAAGATAGTAAATTCTAGAGATGCACCGAGTACAAGTTATACTGAGTAACCGCGAACCGAGTATTACTCAGTATTAGGTTTACCGAAATGAATAACTAAGTCGATAAACTTGCTTTTAGTCCACATGGGTAAACTTCTGCTCTTCAGACTTTAGCTACTTAAATAAACATATTTATAAGATGTTTGAAATTAGCCTTAGCTTCTAAACTTATATTTTATGACTTATTTCTATATAAATTAAACTCTTAATCTGTATACGAAAGGATCAAATATAATTAGTTATAATATATTCTTTATTACTTAAAGGCATAGTAAAGGTACATTGTAATTTCCATGGTTTTTGGCTGACATATGAGTAATATCAGTCAAAACCTATGAAACCTCAAACCCTTAAAAAAATGTGATGATTATTAATTTTACCCTAAAACTGGGTTTAATTAGACCCATAGTACCAGTTCTATCGTTAAGTTAAATAAGAATTCCTATTAAGTTCAAACAAAATAAAATAAATCAAATGACTTAAAAATAAATTATTCAAAATTACATGGTCATACATCACTAATATATTAACCGGAAACGATGTAATACGTTGAACATATTGCAGCAGTATACATAAACGATAATAATTATATCATTTAAACTAGTTATCGCCTGCGCGTGCTCAAAGGCCAGTAATGCGTTACGGTATTCAAGAAACGCAATGAATAGCATTCATTTATTTAAATACACAAAGACATTCTGTAATAGTTTAAACTAACGATTGTCCTAATTCTATAGTAAAATGCCTGTATCTGAGCGGTATTACTTTTAGGGAAAATAAATAGGAGGTTACGGATTCGTCTTCGCGTTATGAGACGAGTCGTAAGATCAAAATACTAAATTAACTATACTCTTCATTCCTTCATTTTCCACTTTTTTTTTCTAATTTGATTGTGACCAAACTGAAATTATGTCCTCCCAAATAAAAAAAACACGTTGGTTCATAAATGACGGAAGTTCTGCGGTAAAAAATAAAGCCTGATTGAAAGCCTCTTCCTTTTTTGAATTCGGTTAAATCCGTCCATCCATCAGAGGCTAAAGTGTGAGTTTATTTCGTTGCGATTGGTGAGGATTTCAGTGTGGGCCAATCAGAAAGCCGAACGTGGTCACCGTGACAATCAAGTAGAAGTGAAACAAACTCGCACTTGTACCTCTGAACATGATCGACCTGCCTGCTGTTACATTTTCAAGAATCATTTCAAATACAAAATCAGAATACGGCCACCGTGAGTGTAAAGTACAGTCGGAGAAACAAGAATCTCACTAAAGTAATAAAATTTTGATTGCTTGCAAAATTGTTTTAATAGCTATGGTAAACAGTTGTTATAGAATTGTTCTCGCACCATTATGCGATTCTTCGAATATACCAACAGTTTTTTCTTATCAAGATATAATAATCAGTTTGTAAAATTGATCGGGTTTGTATTTGGGTGCACGGCAATGATACCCTCAAGTCGAGAAAAAAGGGCTCAGTTGTACTGTCATTCTTTATGTAATTTCGTTGTAGAAAATACATAATGAATTTCAATTGCTAAGAGGGCAAAATATAACTAACTTCCTTCGTCAATTACATTCAAATTAAATTTGTGGATTTGACAACAATTACAAGACGTTCGTTTATTTACTCCATAAGGTACGAGTATATCTAGAAGAGTTTTAGCCTATGAAGCAAGGAAACACATCGCATAAGTTATTTTGTAATGATGTATAATTGATACAGGATTGTAAAGTTAAACTAAGTCACATAAGTCACAATATAGTTCTTCTAACCGACAAAGTTTTAAGATTTAAGTGTCAATTGATGTGCCAAGTAACAACATTTTATAGTGACGGGATGATTGCCTCTTTTACGTACTTAACTAATGAAGTTACAGTTAATATTTTACTATCAACATAATTCATATACTAGCTGGTACTACTTCGTTCGCGTGGGATTTATAAAACGCTCCCTTATTGGGTTCAATTCCCGTGCAAGGCAAAATTTTATAGGGGTTTTCTGAGCGGAAAAATATCCTAAGTTACTCCTTATATAGACAGCTATAAATATTATCAAAATCGGTCCAGCCGTTTAGAAGATTAACCGGAACAAACAGACAGACAGCCAAAAAATATATAAACTGGTTTTTAGACAAAGGTATCGTGCAAATAACCCTATGAGCATGAAACAAATCTATTATCTTGACATTACTAGCAGACACTTCAATTTAATTTTTTTGTGTAGATTATGTTTACGACGGGCTTAGGGTCTGCATATTTGACATGAAAAATTGTAGTCGACTAGTAAGCCGGTCGTACGTTAAGTCGGTATTATGTTATAAAAGTACCAAATTGACAACTTTCTTCTATGATAATCTGAGTTCAAAGAAAATCGTCAACTGTGACATTCCTGCTTCCTGCAATTATTGGTTCATTAAAAACTAACAAAACTTATAAAACGAAATATTTATTTTCCAATCCATGAAAAGCCTAATTATACATGTATATCGTCACTATTTATCTCAATACAATCTTAAGATTAAATTTCCCTCACCAATATATTTCACAGTGCAGTCAAAATCAGAGCTTTATCAGAGTGAGCGTCGTCACTGGCGTCTGCGTGCGCAATTACGTCAGTAAATTACTTCTCGTCGCTGTGTAATTTGTTCGTCTACCACGCCCCGCGTCTAGCGTTATGTTTCACTAGCTGACTGTACTTACGTATTGTATGAATGGATTTGAAGATTGGCCAAATTTGGAATATATTTGATTGAATAGCTGACCATAATTATCGTAATTTAGTTATTTTTAAATAAGTAGGTATATCAGACGAAGGAGCCTTATGTAAATCTGGTAGTATCAAACCTCGGCCCGCGCTCATTGGTCAAATCAAATAATGCGCGCTTTGTCGGCTTGCTGTTACACATTTCCGTCCCTTTTTTCGAAATCACTCCGACAGATTGTAGGAAAGCCAAAGAAAATATTTTACAAGTAAAAAAAGAAACGTAAAAGACAAGACGGCGGCGCAAGACTCGCGTACCTGATAATATTAAAATTCTTTAACGCAAACGATAACTGAATTTAATTAAAATTAATCACTTTGATAGGAACCGTTTCAATAACGTTTTGCATAACACAAAACGTTTTAATTTGTGCGTGTTATAATAAAGGTTATCAGTGTTGTACGCATTAATTAAACGGCGTGGGATGGTAAAACTATCGGTTAATATCGGAACCACTAGAGCGGTTCCATAGTTCCGTATCACAGTAATAGATAAACATGATTTTCGTAAATAAATGTAACTTTTTACCTCATAACCAACCTGTGGAACAAATTCTCACCTGCGGTCTGTCCGGGCTATACGACCTCAAAGAAAAGAGCTTAGGTAGTCCCTTGTCGAAGGCCGGCAACGCAGTTGTGACGCTTTGAGTTGCAGATCTCCTAATAGAATTTTGCCCATGCAATGCAAAAAAATGATAGAACATATTAAAGACTATCTGAGACCCGCGGTGTTACCCGCGTTTGTTGTTATAACCGCGGGCGACGCCGCGGAGCGAAGCTAGTCTAAAAAAAGTAGCCTAAGTTACTCCTCATGTCATCAGCTATCTACCAGTGAAAGTCCGGTCAAATTGGTCCAGCCGTTCCAGAGATTACCCGGAACAAACAAACAGACAGACAGATAGACAGACTGACAGACAAAAATTGAAAAAAATGTTATTTTGGCATATGTACCGTACATATACATTTATATGCATTTGGTAAAAAGCGGTTATTTTAATATTACAAACAGACACTCCAATTTTTTTATTTGTATAGATATACCATACTAGCTGACCCGGAGAATTGATAAATTAGGTGCCAACTACCGGGTCCAATTGTGTTACACAAAACTTCATCCAAATCGATCCAGACGTTTAGAAGGAGTTAGGTTACAAACACACGTACAGAACAATATTATATATATTATTAATAAGAAATAAGTGTTGTGGTGCTAATACTTCTAATATCGAATATAATATTCAACTTATCTTCTTTATATATTTTCAGGTAAATTCGAGCCGCATCCTGCAGCGGGTTTCAACATGGGCTACCTCATGGCGCCGTACCCCTACCCCAATGGTGGGGCGCATCCCCTACCCGTCGCAATGGTGAGTTTGCATTATCAAAATCGCTTTAGATGACTACACGAGTTGTCACCCTTCGTTCGAATTTTAAATCACGATGTATTTATGTACATCACAATTTTAATCTATTTCGCGTAATTTTTTATTTTCATCTCTGGATACTACACAGTATGTATTAAAAACTTTTAGATATTCTTTTTATGTTTTGTGTTTCTAGAATTTACGAAATGGTTTTGTTCTGTAGGTTATTGAATACGAATTATTTTTAAATGTTATTTATGTGATACATTATCAAGAAGGTTAAACAGCTGTCGATAGGCATATTCTATATTCTGTCGATATTGTGTCCTAATCGCGTTTAGATTTGTTTGATAATATAAAAAACTGTACAACTTCGTCAAAAGGTAATAAGGGTAGGTAGGTAAAAAGGTTCAATGTAACCCTTATGAAAATAATTATATTATATAACCTTCATATAGTTCATGGTCTGACCAAGGGTCTTTGCATCCCTTGGTATAATCATCAGTACTCTGTGATAATATTGGCTGCCTTTATTCAAGCTACCCAGTTCAGTATTCGTTCGCTCGTGTCTTCGACCTTAAATTTTTGCTGTTCAGTTGCCGAATTACAAAAGTGTTTGATACAGTATGTTCTAATGATGTTTCTAGAAAAAAAATTGTGTATAGTATGATAATATAGACGTCGCGCCCAAAACATACATTCATAAAAAAAAAATTGATTTGCCAAAGTGTTTTGTATACACATGCGTTACGTGTGCCTACCTGCATCTTATCGATGCTTATCAGTCGATTGTGAGGTACATGCTGGAAATAGCAAACGATCTATAGATAGATACAGGTAAGAATTCGCTCTTATCAGCGCCATTATCGCTTGACAGTTGTGATCGCGCTGTAACGCTGCCGGTGTTATGTTTGTTCTACAAGCCCCCTTTATATGTTTCAAGATTTCAGTAGTGACCTAACCTAAATAACAGATTTTTAAGGAAACAACAATTTGAATCGTTTCACTTAAAGAGTTTGTCAAGGAGACACGTCGGGTCATAAACACCGCCTTATAAAAGGTTATGTTTAAATATCACTTTCAGCAAAGCATGGTATACCTAGCATGTTTACTAGTTGTCCACCAGTAAGTGACATTGTTAATAAAATAAACGCCTAGTAAAACAGAATTACCTAATTGCAACCATGGGACGGTGTTTTAAGTACATACATGATTGTATTAAAAACTTGCGTCGAAAGCGTTAACGATAGTGAATTGTAGATGATGACAAATCTTTTATACGGAACACAATCATAATGCGCAAATTATCTAAGTCCGTGTGGTGACGGAGAATACGGAGTGTCACCACCCCTTTTTATCCCGTGGGTGTTGTAAGAGCCGACCAAGGACAGACTACGCAGAAACTGCACTGCAAAGAGAAGGAAAACTTAACACAAAGCCTATACCAAGCCGCCTGACCAGCCAGGTTTAATATGCCAAAAGCTCCCTTCTAAGGAGAGACCTATGTCCAGGAGTGGACTGTTAAAGGCTATTGATGATAATGATAAAGCCAAACCGTTGCCTTTGCAAAAGTCCCTCAGCCAGAAAAGAAAAACACTACGTTTATAGTTCAAAGCATTACCGTTCGATATTTAAATAATTCAGTTGCATTCGAATTACAACGTCTAAAGTTATTAGTGCTATTACCGCTTTGATGTTTAACTCGTCATTTTTTTTTAATAAAAACTTTTGCCTTCAATCGTTATTGATCGTTTCTGTAAGAATACTAAATGACTTGGGTCACATGTTATAAGGCCTTTCAAGTAACATTGTCTGTGTGAGGAGTGGATTATGAAGTATAGTTCATAGTTTTCTGTTGACATGTAATACTTAATCCACAGTGGCTTAATCGAAGGTTCTCATTATTTGTTTTTATTTAAGCCTCTAAGACAAAAATTTAATTTATATTCTAAACAATAATAGGTTCGTAATCATGTCATTTTAGTACATAGATTATAAAAAGGTCATAGACAATACAGAGCAAAAGTTTTTTTTAAACGGAATAAATACTGCGTATTGAAACAAACTGCCAGCAGTTTCTAGGAAAGAATGATATTATAAACATAATTGGATATTGATTCCAAAATAAATATGTCCTAACAATAGCCACAGCTGAATGTAAACTATATCACGTTCAAATCAAACACAATGAACTAAATACTAATATTTACACGCTTATTTTTATACGAGTAAAAACACGAACTGAATTAAAAACTGAAACGATATTCACATCTTGGCGTCATCATCAGAATATCACTGCCAAGCTTAATATATTGGACTGGTTAAAACGAATCTTATGAGCTCAAACCAGAAAGTTTTGACAAAATGTATTACACACATTCTTTTAAGCCGGTGTCTGTTGCACTATTGTGTTAAGCAATCGCCATCGAGCACACACTACTTTAATTTTTAACAGCTTCTATAATGACTATCAATAGTATACCAAATCACTTTCATTTAGATGAGTCTCCAACTTGTTTGCCACCTCAGCGGCAATAACAACAAATATACAGGCAAATTGTTTTCTCTTACTAAGGTATCGGTGACCTCAGTCGTTGTATAACGGCATCCAACTTTATTTAAACAATTTGATAATAACAAACATCATGGATGCTCTACTACCGTCATTTAATCGTCCGTGATACTATTTTTATTGTATTATTTCCTCGTAATAACCACACCACGTGTGCACGGAATCGAACCCGGGACGCGCCGGAAACGTTAACACAAACAGTTTTTATTTCTGTCTTCATCCTGCTTCGAGATATGTACATTGTACATATACAATTGGAGGGATACTGTATTGCGCATTTGATACTTTATTGGTTTCCTTTGTTTAGAAGAAAAAATATATGTTTCATTCAAATTTTATATAGTGCTGACGAGAATTGACAATTCAGATGCGGCTGTTTGAATTCAAACGGGGGGATGACGGTTTGAATTTCAAATTAACTTAACTTGTATTTTTTGTGGTGGTCAGAAACTAAGTATAGAGTTGCTTGAGATATGCCTTAACTTAGATTTAAAAGTCTCGGTCTTGGACCTAAAACACATTTATTATGAATTAAAATGATAATTATCGCATCTACAAAGCCTTTTGTCGTGTTTATTTATATTAAAGTTTGAGCATATCAGTAGGAAGCTTTTACAAAACGAATTCATTATTGCTGCTAATATTAATACAGAGAATATAAATAATACGTAACATACGTAACGTATGAAAAAAGTTCTCCCTCATTGGATGTTTCTTTTAGCTAATAAGAAAATACAAGACGTTATATTTTCAAAATTCATTATAAGACAAAAACTGAAGTGGCAGATCTATAAATATAACAGTCTATGTAAGAGTACGGTTCTTTCTGAAAATAGACATATTCAAATGTTTTCTGTACTCTGTATGGAAAAATCGCGTTCTCATTTAAAACAGAATAGAATTTATATTCGAATTTTAAAATTTCCCGATGAAAAGCTTTAAAAATCGTTCGTTGAGCGTCGCGTCGTACAGTCGTACGTCAATATCGTTCAATACCTAAGGCTAGTACGCATGCACGAGGCACCACCATACAAATCCTTTGGAACACGGTAAGAAACGAAAAAGAATGCGCCGCGAAAATATCAAACTCGAAACGCAACAGGTGGACATACGACCGTCTCATTCTTTTCTATGAGGTTTTAAGTTTCGTCTCTGTTGTACGGAAGCCGCCCCTACGGACGCCGCCCCTGCTCTTGGGCGGGAAATTTAAATGAAGGAGGGGTTGGGATGGAAATGCTTTTCTTTTTGTTCGCGGGGTGTATTTTAGGGCTTTTGTCTGGGTGAATGCGGCCAGCAATTTCGGGGTCGCTTGCGTTCGCTCGTCTCGGGATTTGAAAATCGAATATTACATTTTTTAAATTCAATTGTATTTTTTTAATATTTTTTTAATGAAATGTACTAGACCTCTTTAAAGAAGGTTTTAAGAAGTTTATAAATCATTTAGGTCTTTAAATTTTCTCAAAATAACTTTACAACCTTCTGATCAAGAATTTAATATGCCTTATTGATCGGAGTCTCAATGGATAGGGGATTGTACTTTATATGTACAGATGCCTTAATATATGCATAGGAGTAGATAGACGGTTATAACTTTCTATAAAGAAGGAATAACTATCTTTTGAACGTGATAAGTCGTTTAAAATAAAACGTATACTAAACTACAATTTAGACAACTGTCAATGATTTCTAGTTTATACGTGTTTTTTTTTACAGAACTAAGTCCTTATAACCACAGCTGACTCTTTACCAATAGGAAAGCGTAGGTCTTTTGTAGAGGAAACACAGGGGATTAAGCCTCCATTCTAGTATATCCGCTTTAATTTGTGCACAATCCTATTGTTTGATTGACGGTGGACAATAACCGTAGGATATCATACGTAAAACCGCAGACATTGTTTGTTAAAGCTTATCTTGGTAATGTAATAGCCGGCGGGGATATCTCCACGGCGAATCTTGCGCACGTCGGCGCAGCGTGCGCGTGAGCAGACGACGCTCACCCAACAGAGATCAAACTGCATCACTAACGGGATGCTGTCGTGCCTCTTTGTAAGGCTTATCAGTGACTGCCTAATTTTATTACAAGCTAGCTTTTCCTGCGACTTCGTCCGCTTTAGAGTTGTTTTTCTATAGGAATAGTACTTGACTGGCCTGTTGGTCTAGTGGTTAGCGATCCTCACTGCTAAGCTAGAGGTCGTGGATTCGATTCCCACCAAGAATAAATGTTGCGTGATACGGACAATCATTTTTATGTGTCTGGATGTACATATCTATACAAATAAATAAAATGGAAGTGTCTGTTTGTAATGTCAAAATAATAGTTTTTTAGCTATGCTTAAAAACAACTTTAAATAGTTTTTGTCCGTCTGACTGTTTGTGACGGGTAATCTTCAAAACGGATGGATCGATTTTAATATTTTACTACTAGTTAGAA